TTCATCACACACACACACACACACACACACACACACCAGGAGGAAGCAGTACTTGATAATATACCTGACAGGTGAGACAGAGGCAGGCGAGAACAGTCCTAGGACCAGAGACACAGCAAGCAAGCCTAGAAATGCCGTCTACCCCCCTTAGAAGACAGCAACCACTTCACTGGGGTTTTTGTTTGTTTCTTAGGAGGAGAGGGTGGTATTTTTGTCAGTTTACACATACAGACGCTAAGCCCCGGGGAGGTTAAGTAACTTGCCCCAAGGTCACACAGCAAACAGAAGGCAGATCCACAGTCTGAGCCAGGCTCTCTGCATGTCAAGCCCTCGGGAGGCCTTTTAACCTGGGCCCCAGAGTCCGGCATCCAGAGTCACAGCCACAGCTCTGCTTCCCTCTTACTGTGTGACCAGAGGCCAGTGACTGTGTGCCCCTGGGGGCCTTGTTCTTCCTCTACAGCACTCCCTAATCCCAAGCCAGCTATGAGCTACTACTTGAATAGCGTAAGACAGAGACACCCAGGGAAAACAGCCGGCTTGAGCTGTTGTCCGCAGCCTGGGGGGTGGCCCCCTTCTGTAGCAAGGTCAAGTTTTCTGCTACACAGCCAAGTCAGAAATAAAACTTTTCACACCAAAAAAAAAAAAAAAAAAGAAAACCACAAAAGGGGATAGATGGCTCCTCCCTGTTCCCCTTCAGGCCTCCCTTTGGGGGCCTACAGACCCACAGAGCTGTCCCAGTGTAAGGGAGGAGGCTACACCTGTGACTCTGACAGACTGCCCCCAGCCCACTGACACTGGCTGTGCCAACCACCAGAAATTTAAAGAATCCACCTCCTTATCTCAAAGCAAGTGGGTGACCTTCCCTGGCTGCAGGAATGCTGGCAGCATGCCCCACCCCTCCCCTCTCTCTGCCCTGGGAAGGAGGCTTGGAGAAAGCATTAAGTCTCCTATGACACACAACACACCCCCAAAGCACCCCCCTCTAGCTCTGGGGCCCTCATAGAGCAGCACTTTCCCAGGAGCGTGGGGCTTCCTGACAGGGACGGAGGTGGGGCGGGGCAGCTGTCGCCCACTAGAGTCACCCTTGTGAGAATCTAAACAGGACTTCCCACTAAGGACCCCAGCACGCCTCCTGGGACTCTTTCCCCTACTAGCAAATTTGAGGATTCCTTCTGGAAGAGATAGACTTAATACAAGATCTTAAATCCAGATTCTTCGGCTTGTAGCCAGGGCCCTGAACAAATCCTTTCCTACCTAGTTGTGTGTATGCGGGAATATGACTCCATCCTCCTCAGCCTCCTTGTAGAAAGCTGGAAGGATTAGAACAGCTTCCCTACACGAGACGTCTTAAATTCTAAGGAGCAGTCTCTTTTGCACCTAGGCAAGCCTCTTCCCAGGAAGTGGAAGAAATGCCACAATGCCAGGAGCACCTAGCAGTGTGCCCCTCTGAGGCTAGGGACTGTCTAGGTCTCACTCCCAGGGCCAAGAAAAAGCAGGCTAAGTGTTGAATGGAAATGCAATAGACTGGACCAGTGAGTGATGTTGCTTTGAGATATTAAAAGCGCCATCCAGGGGCTGGAGAGATGGCTCAGCGGTTAAGAGCACAGGATGTTCTCCCAAAGAACCCCGGTTCAATTCCCAGCACCCACATGGCACCTCACAACTGTCTGTAACTCCAGTTCCAGGGGACCTGACACTCTCACAGAGACGTGAGTACAGGCAGAACACCAAATGTACATCAAATACAAATAAACAAATTATTAAAAGCACCATCCAACAGGACAGCTTTCCATCCTCTCAAAGGACACTGTCCCCTGGCCTCTACAACCTGGCCGGCATAACGGAAGGGTCTAAGCCTCAGTAAGGAGTCTAGGCTCTGGTGGTCAAGCCTGAGTATGAAGGGAACTCCAGACTCCAACACCTCCTGGTGAGACGGAAGTAGCTCTGTGGGAAGAACAAGGGGCTGGCAGGAGGGACAAGAGGCTGGAGGAAGCCTCCCCCCCCCACCCCCCTTGCTCTGGCCCGCCTTATGCTAGCCTGTCTGAGGAAGGCAAGGACCTAGTGGAGCCTGGCGGCAGGAACAATGTCAGGCAGGTGCCGGCAGAGCTTCCTGAAAAGCCCGGCCCGGTGTCATTGTCAGAGCTCAGCCAAGTGCAGAAAAGCAATTTACCAGTCACGCTGCCTGCTCCCCTCGGAAATTTTTAAAATTCTTCTGATTGGAGCTATCTGCGGTGTCCCGAGCCGTGTGGAGAAAGGATGAAGGGGTTTTATTAAATTCCCAGCTTCCCACTTCCCAGGGTGGCCCGTGGGTGAAGGCGGGGCTCACCACACTGGTGGTGGGCGGAGGACAGTATCCGGCATTGAGCGTGCTCATGAAAACCTGACTTGGTGGGGGAATCCATTTGGGGCCTGGTGACTGAGGGCTGGGAGGAGGGGAGACACCCAGAAATTCCATTGCTAAAACTGTACACCAATCCCCCAAAATAGTAAAGATGGAAGCAAACTGGTTTTTTAGTTGGTCAGTATGCCTCCCTGAGTGGGTGATAATCAGCAACGTTTCCTCTGCCCCTATCACACAGCACTTCAACTTAAGGGCCACTTTCACAAATGAAACTAAAACTACTGCAGACCACAGACAGGGCAAGATGAAGCTGGTGTCCAGACAGAGATCACCTACCTACTGCAGAGCCCTTCCTCCACTTAGGAAGGCCTTCTGGTCTGCTTGCACCAAAGACATTCCAACTGTAGACGCTCCCCTGCGCCCTGCCCAGGACTACACCTGCTTTCCCAGCATCACACAAACTTGCCTCTGACTGCAGACTCCAGGCAACCCACACCTCTAAAGCCATCTTCATCTCTAACCACTGAGGACCATGCTCTTAGTCTCTGAACTGTAAAAGTGAATGTCAGCCTGCTAATCGTTCTCCCCAGTCTTTATTTATTTACCTTTTAGGAATCCTGGGTACTTAAAAAAAAAAAAAAAAAAAAAAAAGTCTAAGGATTACTCTGAGTCTTCTTCCAGACACACACAAATTTGCACAGTGTTTCCTGAGTGGTTTTCAAGGACACCCCCCAGCCAATGCCAAGACTACAGACCAGGGGTTAAAAACACCAGCCCTATGCAGTTCAGACATGGAGGGGCTGGAAGGGACAAAGGGGCAAGAGGAAGGGGGGTGGAAAAGAGGAGGCTCCCTCACCTGCATGGATTCTGCCTCTTGACCTAACCCAAGCGGACCACCCAGCTCTTTCTTAAAGATGCTGGCTTAGTGCTGGCGGGGAGGTAGAGGTGGGAGGAGAGTCCAGACTCCCTCCCTCACACTCTCATCAGAGAACACAAAAGACCACCCGGCAGCCCCTCCCGGCCCTACTTAAAGAAGAACTGAGAGCAGCAAGCATGTGAAGGCTTGGGCAGCTAGATCCAAGGGTTCCTTTCTGCCTCCACACCCATTTCCTCAGCTCCTGCCCAGGCTCAGGCCAGCCAGACAAGCAGACCCCCTGGAGTGACCCTGGAACCTGCCCTCTGCCTGGGGACTCAGCTGCAGACAGACTAGGCAGCCCATGCCTGGCACTGGCCTTTTCTCTAACATCGGCCATTCCCTCCCCCCCTCTTCCCCCCCCCCTTCACCACACAGGGTCACATCTGTTTTGGCAAACAGCCAGTGTTAAGTTACTGACTCCAGTTGTATTGATTCAAGGAGTCACTGGGGACCCCAGCCTGGCCAACAGAAGGAAAGAGCCATCAGTCTGTCCTCCATCTAGCCTTCCAGCCCCGAGTCTCAACTGGTTGCCCTGAGCTCCATGCCTGCCCCAAGGAACAGTCTTCTCCACAGAGAGAAGAAAGGCAGAAGACCCACCAATCAGGCTAGGAACCACAGCAGCGGCTACACACAGGAGCTTCCTTAGACCAGAAAACTCCAGACAGCTCCAGAACTCAAAAGGCTACGACCAAGCATCTTCCCATTAGCCCTGCTAGGACACCTGCCTTTCACGGGGAGGGGGAGGGGACAGAAAGCCCTCTTTTGGCCTATGTCCAGTTTATCCTGAGTCCCCTCCCTTGTCGCTGTAGGTAGGTGGAGGTATTGGGCAGCTGGTGTTTCCTATTCCCCTCTGCCACCCCCCACCCACACCATGCTGAGGCAGCCCTGATCTGGTTCTAATCGGGGTTGAAGTCGACTCCCTACCCCCCCCCCCCCTCCTTTCCTTCATTTCCACGGCTTTGGAAGCCAGAGCATTCCAACTGTCTGTGTGCCAAGACCTTCCCGAGTCTGAAAGCTGCTGAAGTAACAGATCAGATTTTAGCAAGTGCTTTCCAGGCTGAGCGCCAAGCCCTCTTCTGATTCACAGAGAGCGAACGGGGACCAGGCAGGCAACAAGCCCTGGGCTGCACCACCTTGGGCAAGGACATGTGGAATAGAGCGCGGCAGGATGGGGAGCAGTCTCCTCTCTCTCTCTCTCTCTCTCTCTCTCTCTCTCTCTCTCTCTCCCTCTCCCTCTCCCTCTCCCTCTCCCTCTCCCTCTCCCCTCCCACCTACAGAGTAATTTACAACTAAAGCTCTCTCTCTGGACTCAAAATCCACTCAGTTGAAAACAACCTTTTTGTCTGCAGACACAAGCAGGCTGTAAAGGGACAGAAAAGGGGCAGAAAAAGCCCCTGGGTCCCTACCCTTCGCCAGCTGCGGTCGCGGGTTGGAGTCCCGCACATCACTTGGGCTGAGCCCTTGGACTCTTGGGCTCTCGCCACCGAGACCAACCGCGGCCGCGACAGCCCGCACTGGCTGGAGCCACGCAGCAGCCCCTAGCCCTTGGCCCGCCACCGCCAGCGCAGGGCGCGCGCGAAGCCGCCCTTCCGCACCCTGGGAACAGGTGCACTGGGCTCGCTGCCCAGGAGGGGTGGGGCACCGAGAGGGGGCGCGGTCCCAGGAAGGGGGGTCGGCCCGCACCTCAAGGAAGAGCGCGCGGGGGATGGGGGGCGACGACAGGACTCTCAGGAGCCCACGTACCTGAACCTGGAAGCACAGCAGTAGAAAGTGTAAACACCTGCGGGGAGAAAGAGGGAGAGGCGGTCAGTAGGACCCGAGGGAGGGGGCGCAGACGGACAGACAGACAGGCAGGGAGAAAGTCACGCGAGCAGACGGGCGAGCAGACAGACAGAGCCACACGCACAGGGACAGGCATCCAGGCGGGGCGGCCAGGGCCGGGCGGGTGCTTACAGGCAAGTGCAGGCGGAGGGCGCTGAATACATCGCGGGGCGGGGGGGGAGGCGGCGGCTCCTAGCCCAGCCTGCACATGTCCGCTCCGCGCGGCCGGGACCGGGCGCCTCCGCCGCCGCCGCCGCCGCCGCCGCCGCTGCTGCTGCTCCCTCCTCGCCGGCTGCTTCTGCAGACTCTGCTGCTCCGGGGCGCTCCGCGGCGCGCCCTGCGGCATCAGCGCCCCGCGCGGCTCCTCCCGAGCGCTGCGCCCTCCGAGCCGGCGCGGGGGCTGCGGGGAGACCGCGGTGCGGGAAGACGCTCGGCCGGTGCGGGGAAGCTGGCCCGAGGCGGGCGGGAGGGCCGTCTGGGCGTTCGCGGGACGCGGGCTGCCGGCTCAGTCCAGGGGAGGCATGCACGGCGGGGGCTGCGGCTGGGGCGCCGCGGCCAGGGCGCGAGGCTGGCGGGGCCGGGGTCAGCGCTCCGGGGCTGGGGCGCGCGGCTGCAGTGCGAACGCGTCACGGCCGCTCCGTCTGGGCGCCCGCCGGCTCATGTCTCCTCCTCCGTGTCTCTCCGGCCGTGCGCATCGCCGCCTCCCACCGCTGGCGGCGGCCGGGGCGTTTTCTACGCGCGGGCGGCGAGGGGGCGGGGGGCCGGGGGCGGGTCCGGGCCCGCGCCGGCACAATGAGGATGCGGGGCCCGGGGTCTCCCCCCTCGGGGCGCGGCCGGACGGGCGCTCAGCGCGGCTGGGTGCGCCGCGCCCACATCAAAGCCAGCACTGCCTGCTCGCCTGCCTGCCCTGCCTGCCGCGGCTTCTCCACCGCCTCCTCCTCCTTCTGGCGGCTCAGGGTTGGAGGGGAGGCACTTGGGCTGTCGGCGATGGGACTGGCCGTTCAGCAGGGCAGAACCCACGAATCTGGAGCTGAGGAGAGCTGGAAGCCGTCGAAGCTCTGCGCCACAACGCTAATATTGGCCGAATGGAGCAGGCGGGATTCCCAAAGAATCCAATTAGGAGCAGAGCGTTCCCCCTCCCTCACATTTGCCGTTCGCATTCACATCCACTAGTGTTTGGAAGCAAGGCTGAGGGCCGCCCGGTGGGATGCCTCAACTGAAAGGAGTCCTTTACCCTTGCCCCGAGGCCACGGAAGACAGTGGCTTTTTCCAGACGCTCCCCACCACCACCGACACCACGGGACCGACACCCAAGCGAAGCCTTCTCTTCCCGCTCCTGCCGTGGAAGATAGGAAGGGCTCAGGGGCGTCTCTTTCCCTTCCCCCGCTCTGGGACTCTAAGGTCGCTTCTAGGGATTCCAGCTGTGTTCGCTAGTAGGTGACCTGGTTTCTGGAAGCACACGGCTACCACCTAGCGGCACCAAAGTGTCGCTGTAACCCCAGCCCTGACCGGCCACATGCCTGAGAGTAGCCAGGACTATGGTCAGCGCTCACTCCAGGGCCTCTTAGGTTCGCACACTAAGCTTGTTTTCCTGCCCTTGGTCACCCACCCTGAACTTTTTCTGTCCTTCCATTAACCCCAAAATGTAGATATTGTTGTCCGAGGCCTGCCACATTCTGTCTAAAGTCTGGGTCAGCCAAGTTGCTCTGCTTTGGACTGGTGCTAAGACAAACAGGTCACGGTGGGCAAGAAACTAGAGAACAAGCTCAAAATGCAGAACTCAGGAATTCAGATTATTTGGTTTAGAGCCTTGTGTCGGTAGCTGTGGTTGCTATTCCCCTCTCCGTGGAGCTACGGTGAAGAGGGTGCTGCTCAGCGGTGTTATTCCTGAAGTTATAGAAACATAGTATTTGTTCCAAGTACCAGACCTCCCTGGAAGCTACTTTCAATTCCTTTTCAAAGTTGAGGCTAAAGAGACAGTATTAAAAACAAATCCTGAAAACCTTTGCACAATCGAGTACCTTGAGATAGTTCTTGCATGACGCTAGGCTGATTTTATGTAGATTGTCTGGACTGCCAGAAATAGTCTAGCAAAGTTATTGCTAGCTTCCTAGATTCTGGAATGAACCAGTCAATCCAGGGTGAAGTGACAAACCACAACTAGATAAGCCTTTGGCCTTACTTAGAGATGGGGGTTCTCTATCTGCTGAAAGGTTTCATTCATCTTCTGCCTGAGAATCATTCTTTCCTATCTGCATTTTGCTACTATTTTTCATTACCTTTGAATGCAATGGCTAATTATTGTTCCACCTACAACACTATGATGACCTCATAACACAAGACCCCAAAACTCTAGTGAGTGGTGTTCTAAGAGCATAAATCTAAAAATCACAAGTCCTGGTGCTAGGGATGTAGCTCAGTGGAAAGACCCACAGTTCAATTCCCAACACCCCCTAAAAAGAAGAAGAGGAAAAAAAAAAAAAAAAAAAAAAAACAGGATAAAAGGCTTATGCTTGGGCTCCGCCACCCAGAGCCCCACCTGGGTGCTACCTTAGACCCTGCCTCAAAACAAAAGGGAGTGAGGTCTGGAGAGGATGGCTAGGCAGCTGAGTGCTTGGGTGCCAGCACACGAGACACAGTTCTTTAAAAATCAAGCCCTAGACTTGAATGTTCTTCTTTGCCTACAAAAACCAGCTAACAACTCAGCTGCAATGAGATGTGGCACACACTTCAGCCGTCAACGAATTCATTCCAGCCTTTTCACATCTCTCAGTTTCACTAAGTACAGACAAGACGGTTCTTTACAGTATGTTCACCTCAAACACAGCCACCTCGATCCTCCCATTCCCAATCCACCTGAAGTCGCTTCAGTTACACACATGTATGTCCATCAACCTTAGATGACTTCTGCAGTGTTAAGAATAGTGCTTCAGTGCTAATGTAACGTAGTCCACTGCTGTCTGAGGTCCTTCTGTGTTCAGTCCTAGCTGAGACAAGGTACCTAGCTCCAAACTAATTTGGTGGTGGTGGTGTGTGGCAGTTGAGATGATGCCAAACATGGGATTCCCTGAAACCCATGTAATGGCAGTATATACCCAAGTTGTCTTGACTTCCACATGTAAGCTCTAACACATATGCACACATACATGAATGCACACACCACACAAATTATATTCTCAGTGAGTGAAGATGAGCAATTATCAGTAAGTTGCCTTCTTTGAAGCAGTGTTCTGAAGAAAAAATAATGCAGATGGTCTGGAAGAACTTTGCAAATTGTAGAATGCAGCCAACCATACAAAGGGTCATTCCAGGTGTGTTTGACAAGTGACTAAAGCATAAAGTTCTTGGTGACAAGCAGGTATTACCAGGTCCAGCGCCTTGTAGCCAACATTGTTAAAGGTTTGTATTCATCTTAACACATCAGTTTTGACAAACTCACTTGTCAAATGTGCAAACATCATCTCTCATTAGGTAATCTCCCCACCTCCAACAATGGTCCCTAGGACAAGATTCTCTCCTCTTCCGGTTTTAGTCATCTGCTGCTACATTCCAACATCACCCCACACTTGACCACTGAAGAGCTTTCCAACTCAGGGTCAAAACCCAGGCACTTCTAAGAAATAAAGGGGAGGCATAGCAAGAGTAGTACACGAGGAACTAGCTGAAATGCTCAATACAACAGAACATGAACTGGAACAATCGAACAGGCGCACTTGAGTCTGTTAAGGACTCCTTATGTGGTGGACCTGTCCTTTCATTCAACTCCTTACTATAGGGTCGTAAATTTAGAGAATGTGAACTGCATACACAATGAAATGGTAAGCACTGCTTCACTGGCCAATCCCCAAATACTTGCAGAACTGTGGATATATGGTATGAGTTTGAAAGTTTACATTCTCATTTCTTAAGTGAAAGCAAAATTGAAACAAGCAACCTGACTAGGAACACTCCTGGAGTCTGTGAAACAGCATGAAGAATGGAGTGGAGATAGCTCAGTGGTTAAGAGCACTGGCTGCTCTCCCAGAGAACCCGTGTTCAATTCCTAGCACCCACATAGCAGCTTACAACTATCCGCTTCCAGTAATTCCAGTTCCAACACCCACATACTGGACATAGACACAGGCAAAACACCAACAGACCTGAAATTAACACTCTGCCCAGGCACCTACACCTATTTCACTAGCAATGTCATAATAATGTGCAACTAAGCAGATCAAACTCAGGCTTTCTCAAAACAGTCAACCGTTGAAATCTCCGTCAGAATTTATTTGGGTGATAACCCGAAACTTTTAACTCTGTATTTCAAGAATCCAGAACCCACTTTGAGCCCCACACCCTAAAAATGCTTATTAGTAAGTCCTTGCCTCAAGTCATGGTACTAGCAGTTGTTGGTTAACACTTACCAAGCCACTCTTGTTCCTTTGCATGATTAATAACTCAGCTTGTGCTTCAACCAAGGCTGTTTTACTAGAACAGTTCCTGCACAGGTCATTTATACCAACAGCTTGTACTGCACAAGTTACAGATCCAGCCATCCAGCTGACTACCCAGGAATGAACTTTTTACACAGGAATCTCCTTTACCTTTTCATAAGATTTTATAAAATGTTTTATATACGTTCACCTTGGGTAATTTTTCATTAGTCAGCAGTTAGGAGCATCTTGTGTAGAACTAAGAGGACAACCGGCCTCACTAAATAGGGTGTTTGGTGTTCCTTCTATCTAGTATAATTTTAAACAAAAAAGCAGCTTCGGAAGCTCAGTCTGGAGAGATAGCTCAGTGGTTAATACTGGGTCCTGAGTCCAACTCCCGGCAACCATATAGTGGCTCACAACCATGGAAACAGCTCTCATATGCATGGGACAAACCTTCAAAACCCAAGACCTCTCCTTTCACGAAGACTTCAAAAGGCAAATGTTAACTCCACTTCTGAAAATACAACACTGCCTATCAGTTTGTATGAGGCACTACCCGAATCCCAGTCCAGTAAGCTGTTTGGGCTAGTCAGCAACATACAAGTTCACATTCTACAAAACCAACATTCACATCCTGTCATGCAGCTACCTCAATGCTCAGCCCGTATTACACATACCATCCCATGGCCAACTAAGCCAGAACTATGTCCATACTAAAGGTCTAACTGCACAAAGCTGTTTCTATGCATTAGTGGTTTAAATGTCCTTGTCATCC